TACCAATGTGTGGTTCCAATCAGGGCACTGTCTCGCCTCAATCGATGACGGACAAGTCAATTAGTTCTGATAGAGGCGGCCTCTTTTGCCCAGATCAAATGCAAAGAGTAGCCTCTTATGTCAACCAGGTCGAGTGCTTCCCTATGACACAGCCTAATGGAGCCACCTGCGCACGTTCCTTTGTGGCCCCTGGGCCCATCTCTACTCGTCTCCAGAACCAACAGGCTTGTCACCAGTCATCACCCCGTCTAGTTAGCAGTTTCTACGCTCAAAGAAGTGAGGTCAACCCGGCGCAATCCACACTCGGACCTCAGACTGGTAAGTGAATTACTCGAATTACGGTAGTTATACTTTTCCCATTGAGGAACTGAGTCTCTGGACTCATTCTTTTCAGAAGTGTCTAAAAGTGGGGGGATTTTAGAAGTTTGGGCTTATTTCATTCCTAAGCATTCTGAGAGATCCATTATTTTGCCGGCCGAGTATTTGTGCACAGTGTCATCTGAGTCCGCATTTTTGGATACTTATACATAATTTTTTTATCAAGGTTTCGGTCGAAGAAATTCCTGTGCCACACATGAACAAGAAGGCCGCCCACCACTTCAAGGTGATAAAATGGATAGAAAGCCAAGACAAATGGTAACATTTTCAAGTGAGGTAAGTAGACATATCTCTAATTACTCAACAGGACTTCCGTCGCACTACCAACACAATTCTTTTTGGAAAGGTTACGACCAAGAATTATATTAGTAGTTGTACAGTGGATAAGCTATCTTAATAACGAGGTTTATTCATGACGCACCTTTTGGCACCGTTAAATTTCAGTCACCTCAGGTTGCCAGCTTTGACTGAGCTCATTTTAGACTGCCTACTACTTAAGTAGTGTGTATTTTTCATATTTATTTTCGATGCCCTTATAAAATTCGAATCTATTGTTATGGAAAACGTGCATAAAAAGTATTATTTCTTGCAGTCATTTGGTACCTAATTGCGCCTTTGTAAAAAGTTTATGCTTGAATAAAAACCATCTCCCGAGTTTAAAAAGTTGCTTGCATGTTTAGACGCATGAGAAGCAACCGCCTGGCTCTCGGAACCCTCAGAACCTACAGGAAACGGAAATTAATGACTTAACTATGTCCAGCGACATCACTACCATCCCACCGCCAACTGACTTCGGGGCCCAGACAAGCCAGGTCCAGGAAACGCAATATCCCATAATGAACCATGCAAGCATGCCGTGCAGCAAACCAAGTACAGGCCTAATGCGGAAAGCCAGTGGATCCTTCGAGAAACCTGCGGAATCGGATGTTAATAACGTCTCCTGGAGGCCTGCCTCCGGCTGTCTTTCTGCAAGGCTTCCACCGCAAAGAATATCACGCGCCAGCATCTTGCCAAACGGACAGTCCGCCTTCCCTAGAGATGCCGAAAAGGCCGGGGTGCATTTTGACGTCTCCATGTAAACACAGGTCTCAGTATTTTCTGTCCCCGGCGTGCTTTCTTCGCCTCTCCCTTGAGCGCCTTTTCTACTGCTGATAGATTTCCACCGCCTGCTGAGCTGAGATATGTTAGGCTCAGTTTACTGCTCCCCCCCCCATCCCATCCCGAACTTGGGCCTTCAAATTAGGCTAATCAGTTAACTGGAGTACAATTTCATACGCAAATAGATTCATCTACTGCTCACACACTGCAAGAACTGTTAAAGCTACATCTGGCCTCCCCTCCGGCTCACACCCCATATATTCCCTGGATTGTCATGTATTACGACTGCGACTGATGCGTGGAAGGATATTTTGATGAAGTCATTCTTTATTTTCTGCCGTAAGACCTTGACACCATTTGGCAACGCGCACAAATGACCCTCCACGCTGTACACGTCTCCCCTCCCCTCCGCCTCCTCTTCCTCTTTAACTCTTTTGTCTTCACGCTCTCCTTTTGGTCGCCCGACACGCAAACGAAAACTTTGTAAAGAGCCAGGGATGTTTAGCGGTTTTGCTCTGGGCTAGTACTTGATTACACTGGTCGCTAATTCGAGCACTTGTCCAGAGCCGGGAATCCTTATTTATGCCTTCCAAGTCTATTATTGCATTCAAACGTTGTCGAGAAGTTCAGAAAAGCGGGGCAAATGTCAACTAGGCAGAAAATTTTACCGAAAAAGACTAGGGATTCTTGAATGGCCATTTCTGGTTTATTAACTTTTAGCAACTAAAG